AAGTGACCCCTGAACCATCAGAGAAGGATAAATTCAGGTCAAAACAGCTAAAGGGTTGTATATTTGAGTCTATAGTGTTGAAGAGCTATGATCTCTTTTGTTTCTCCTTTATTCAGAATATTGGATAAGCAATAACACAATCTTTCCCAAACATGTCAGATTAAAGAAAAGTATTTTCTGTACTCCAGTCTCCCTGAACGTTTCCCACTAGGAACTATGGATTCAAAATTGTTTCCATGTTGCACAGTCTTTACTAAACAAATAGAAAGGTGAACAGCTATTATTTTCTCAATGTATTCTCTAAAATTGTAGGGTGCTTTTTCTGATAAAATAAAAGCCAACTGCGAATAATCACCTTCAACAAAAGCTAAGTTGGTTTTGTTCTTTTTTTTTTCTCCCTGGAATTTGCACTCTTCTCCTTCTGACCCACTTCCTTCTCTCCTCTCCTTCTCTTTTCCTGCTCCCCAATTTGAATGGGAACAGGCTATGGAAAAGTGAGGGCTGCAGTAGGAAATTAAGATTCTTGTGTTAGAAGAGTTAAGTGAGTTTCCTGGAGTATAAACGAAATCTCTGGAGATATAAATAGAATCATGATGAGCAGCTCTGAGATATGGCATTCTTTCCCACTCAAGGAGTACTTCATAACTCTCTTGAGGCTGGTGAGTTTCACATAATATATTAATATCCAGACTGGGGAAGAATGTCAATAGCCCCCTTTGCCTGCTGACTTAAAAGAAATTACACGGAGAGTGCATGATAAATTCTCTAGGTTATACACGGGACAAAATCATATGCAGTCAGTATACAAACAATGCATATTTATATCATAGGCAGACACATTTTTTAAAAATGCAATGCCGAAATTTTGAATACAGCTTCTATGCTTGTACACTTTACGATATGAGATTTTCCCTATCTTTATGAGTCATGAGGATGGATAAGATTTCATAAGGATACCATGAAATTCTATAGTCTATCATTCAATGGTCTTTTTGCCCTATTCTTTAATACTTCAAGGATCATTGGTTTTACAGGGTGGACATTCCCTCTGCTACAGCAAATCACAGTCTAACCTTGACAGTAGACTGTCTTTGAGAATTGCTGTAGATAAAACAAACAAACAAAAAAAACCTCCATACCCTATCACCTGAACCAACCACCCACTTAAAAGACTGGTTCTCAGACAACAGATATACAGTTTAGTCACTGAACTGACACCTAGAGCTCTTATGGCACAGTGGGACCTGCTATTGCTTATGACCCATTAAGAACCCAGGATCACCTCTGTTGTCCCTTAAGGTTAAAAAAAAAAAAAGGAGGGGTTGCTTTCCTGTAGGTTTTATATTACATTTTATAATAGAGTAAACACTGTAACAATGATACCTTATGTGAAGTTCAGTAAGTATTGGCTTATTTTACTCTCACCATAATACTATGAGGTATACAAGGCAGATTCTACTTTTTCTCATCTGAAAGATGAAAAAGTCAGAATGACTTCCTCAAGTGTTTATAGCTAGTAAATGGTGGAATCACATGAGTACAGAGGCCTTCTTACTTTTAGACCCCATCTACCACATCAGAAAAGAGTCTTAACTTCTCTATGTACACATAAGTCCTCTGACTCATAATATGAGCTTGTATTGGTCTGATCAGCTACAGTTTGTACCTTAACCCTGACATAGAGATGTCATTTTCGTCCTCATCGAATATGAGGGACAACAACCAAAGGACATATATGCCACGTATCCTGTATTGGAAAATGGACAGAGAAGTAGGTTGGGGACTGGCAGGGGCTAAACAAAGCTCTCTGGAGGCTTCTTCCCTCAGGCGTATGTGCTAAAATGATCATCGATGCCATTCAGAGGGAAGAGCTATGTTTTCCCCTCAGTCTTCTCTTCTAGGTATAGGTTAGGTACTTTTTGAATTGATTACTGCTTCAGTATATTAATACACATCCTAGGAATGTGGAAGAGTTAGCATAGGTTTCAGGGAATCCAAACATGTTATCTAAATGGCTTAGGCACTGTGGGATCAATTTGCCTTTTCTATTTTTTTCCTCTTCCCCTTTACACTCATTCCATTTCTCTTCATAAATAAAGCAGAGGTGGTTCTTAAGCCAGGATAGATCCCTAGCCATAGACAGGGATCTATGAATAGGTTTCTGGGATTCTATGAGATTAGATGGAAAAAAAATACAACCTTATTTTTCCTTTGCTATCCTGTGTATTTTATTTTATGCATTTAAATATATTATTCTGAGGAGAGATCCATAGGTTTTACCAGACTGTTAAAAGAGACCTTGACACAAAAAAGTTAAAAACTCTTAGCTTAAAGAATATTTTTTCTTTATTTTAATATACCTAAAAAAATTATCATTTAAAAAATTCTTCTATTTATAACTCCACTAAAGTCTCACTAAATGCCTTAGGGCAATATAGAGGTGACTACAGCACCAGCTTTGGCATGTCCAACCTGGCCAGAAAGATTTGACTGTGGGCCTGGAAATGGACAATGGCTGTCATCCTAGAACAAGGTTACTCAGGTATGGAGAACCTTGAAACCAGTAGATTAACCTTTGCTATAGCTTCTCATAAAGCAAAGAAACATGAGACCACCATCTTCTCCAACAATGACAGTGGCAGGATGGAAATGGGGGAAAGAGTACCAAGAAACAAAGAGTTTCTAGACTATCGATAAATATTGATTGAACCCTCAGGCTCCCTAATATAAGAACTTTGTCCAACAACCAGCGAGTTGACATAATACTGGAAGCACTGAGATACATCAATATTGACATTCACCTTACAAATGAAACTAAACAGCATGAATAGATTGTAGCTACATGGTGGTCTAACTTAGAGAGGCAAATAGAGGAGGAGGCCTATACCAGGGAATATAATTGACAGAGGCTGGCTTTGAAGTCAGGAAGACCCAAGTTCTAATCCTTCCTTAGACACTAAGCTAGGGCTCTGCTTCTTAATCTATAAAAAAGGTAATAATAGTAGCTTCTTCACAGTGTTTTTGTGAGTACAAAATGATGTAATATATGCAAAGTGCTTTGTAACGTTTAAAGCATGTAAAATGCTAGCTATTGTTATTATAGTAGGTATTTAGGGACAACTAAGTGGCATAGTGGATAGAGCCCTGAGCTTGGCATCTGGAGGACTCCTTTTCATGAGTTCAAATACAGCCTCAGACACTTAATAGCTGTGTGACCCTGGGCAAGCCATTTAATCCTGTTTGTCTCAGTTTCCTCATCTGTAAAATGAGGAGAAGGAAATGGCAAACCACTCTAGTATCTTTGCCAAGAAAATCCCAAATGAGGGATGAAGAGTGAGACGTGACTGAAAATGACTGAACAACAACAAAAGGTATTTGAGAAATGCTCATTGAAGTAATGGATGAATGAGTACCCAAAGGCAATAAGAAATCACATTGCATGGGATATGTTACTGGTTATCTCATAGGCAAAAAATACCATCATGAATGAATGAAAAACATTTACCAAGTTATTATGTCCCTGTATAACCTACATCAGATTGCTTACCACCTCAGGAAGGGGGGATGGAAGGGAAAGGTAGAATTTGGAACTCAAAACTTTAATTAAAAAAAAAACGTTAAAAAAAATCTTCACGCGTGCCTGGGGAAATATAAAATATTATGTAATTAAAAATAAAGTTACGTCCCAATCACTGTGCTAAGGACTATGGCTACAAATAAAAATGAAAATTAAGCCATTTCTTGCTCTCAAGGAGGTCACAATCTAATTGAAGGAGACAACACATACCACTGGGTTCAGCTGCTGGGCAGATAGAAAGTCTTAATGATTCAGTGGTAGAGAGGATGGGAGGCCTAGGAATCCCTCCATTATGTGAATCAGTGTTCATTTAGAAGACAGTGCCAAGGGGATCAAGGTCTGAGAAACCTGGCAAACAGTAAGACCTAGAGGACCTTAGGAAGCAAGTAGCAGGGCAGATGGTAATACATGGGGTTCCTCCATGTCAGCACAAAAAATAGAGCCAGCAACTCCCATCTCATTCAAGTCCTCTGAGCAGTCAAGCAACATAGGCAAAATGAGGAGGCAAGAAGACAGGTAGGTCTTCCTATAACTTGGATGTTCCAGATGGATTTGAGAACAGATGAATGGTGGAGGGGAGGTGATGGAGATGAGGGAGACTGCAACGGTCTTAGGCATCTAAATATGTTGATGAGAGCAAAAGATTGGAAAATTCTGGAACAACTCAACAAAATCCTTCAACAAACCACCAGTGAATGACATTCTATGCCATTGGATGGAGTGCCCAGATTGGTGAGATCAAAGATTCATTCGAGCTGAGGTATCTTCATTTGTTTTGGGAAATATGTCTTCATTTGTTTCTCATCTCAGTTATCCCAAAAATGAATCATGAACATACCATAGAATTGTAGTTTATATTTGTTAATATGATACATTCCAAAGTGTTTTATATAAACTTAGTATCAACAAGTTTATTTTCTCAAAATGTCATTTAAAAATTAGTAGATGGGGCAAGTACATGAATTGTCCAATATCCATTCAATATCTCATTGTTTTAAAATTGGGGGGAGAGGAGCATTCTTAAGTTGTAGATTTCAAATATTACTTACTTCTCTGAAACTATTTGTTCTATTTCCAAGGGTACTAGTGTGAAATTAAGCAAATTTTTAAAAGACTGTATTTTTTTTTGAAAACACAAATCTAAATAAAAAACACAAAGGAACCCACTTGTAATTCAATTAAATTCATCAGGTGTTTATTAAGCACCTACTATGTAACAGGGACTGTACCAGGCACTGGGGATACAAAACCAGAAAACAAAACAGTCCCTGCCTTCAAAGGGTTGCACTCTGTTGTGGAAAAATAGCATGCGCACAAATAAGTAAATACAAATTATACTCAAGATCCCCACAAAGAAATATCAGGGTGAGAGTGGGAGGGAGGGGAACGTTCCAATCTGGGTCTCCAAAACTGTGGCACGTACCTGCATTTAAGAAAAGCAAGCTGTCCTTGTCTTTTATACCTTCTGGGGCAATGCACTCACACGCCAACGCACACTGGAAAAGAAAAGAGAATTGGTGCTTTGAAAACAAGCAGACAAATACTGAGACTAGAAGACAGTTTATGTTGTCTGGGGATGCTTTGGCTCAAACCCTCCTGACAACTTTTCTTTCCAGCCCTACCCATTTTGTTCAGCTCATTTGGTTTTAATTATTGATTTACATTTCTTCCATGCAACAGAGTTGCATTATTTAATCACAGGCTACATCCTCTCCCTAGCCAAAGAATGTTTACAAAAGATAGCAAAAAGTGAATTATTGTCCCAAACATGCGAGAGATGCACATTCCTAACTGTGTTAAGGCAGGCTAGAAAATCATTTGTGACAAGCTGAATGGTTTCAAAGAGATTTCTTTCAGCCAGGCTGATTTCAGACCAACATCAGACAGTTCTCCTTGATTTACAGCAAATGCAACTTTAAACAGTAGGTGGCAATACTTGATTACCAAGGGCAAAAGGAGCTAAGCCAATAACATGTCGCTGACAAAATGACCTAAGTTACCTGCTCTGAGAGAAAGGACACCATTAATATATGAGATCATCTCTGCAATGATATGTTCCTGTCATTATTGATAAATGGGCTGTGCTCACTTGCCTTATCTTACCTGGGTGTATGCAGAGAATAGAAGGGGGTGGGAAATTGAACTGCAGAATGAGGGACATTTCCTCTATTCCTGGTAAATGAGTTACAAGTGTGAGCCTCTCTTTGATCCATTCTAGGCACAGTGCCCCTAGACATGGGAAGCTTGCCACATCCAGATGAAGGAAAACTTTCTTGGCCCCAAGACAGTGAGAAGACACCTTTGTTATTTCCACAGGCAGGCAGGCAGCCACCAGTATTTGTTTGATCAGATGAACTATCTTTTGCCTCCAGTCAGAAAATAAGAAAGCTCACTTAACAAATATGCCAAACAGAAAGAGACAAAGTGAAACCTAATTGAGAAAGAACTTCCCAGCTGGAAAATTACTTCAGTGGAAAATCTCAAGGGAAATGACTCTCCAAAGTTCCTGCAGCCTCAATTCTCAAATGGGCGTTTTCCTGTTTCAGTGAACAACTACCATTTATTAAAAACTGACTATTGTGTGCCAGACATTGTGCTAAACACTGAGGATACAAACAAAGGCAAAAGACAGTCCCTACCCTTAAGGAACTCACAGTCTAATAGAGAAGACAACATGTAAACAGCTATATACAAAGAAGCTAAATCGAGAATTGGTAGTAATCTCAGAGGGAAATACCATTGGAGAATTTAAGAATATCTCAAAAGACCAAGCAGCATCCATTGATGCAGTGCATGTTTTTAGGGGGCAGCTAGGTGGCACAGTGGATAGAGCCCTTGGCTTGGAGTCAGAAAGGCTCCAAATCATTCATTTATCATTTATCTGTAAAGTGAGCTAGAGAATGAAATGCCAAACTACTCCAGTATCTTCATGAAGAAAACCCCAAATGGGGTCATGAAAAGTTGGACACGACTAAAACTACTGAATAACAACTTTTTTTTTTTAAATACACAAGGCAAAGAAAATATGAGGTTGGTTGAAAATTTGTATTTTATTGCAAAATAATAATAGATTTTTGCATCAGTCGACATGTCTGGTCCTTGTAGTGTCTTAAGAAATACTGGGAAACACTTCTTGCAGAAGATTGGATTTTCTTTGAGATCTAAAGGAAGACAAGGAAGTTAGGAGGCAGATATAAGAGAGGGAATTCCAGGCATGAAGGACAGCTAGTGAAAATGCCTACAGTCAGGAGATAAAGAAGGCCAGTGTAAAAGGATCACAGAGTATGGGAGTCTGAATGTTGATGGAAGCATACTATTTGCTCTCCTTTTCCTTTGTTGTTTTGTTTTATTGCTTCCTTCTCATGGTTCCTCCCATCAGTTCTAATTGTTTTTTACATCATGACTAATGGGAAAATATGCTTAATATGAATGTGTAAGTAGAGCCCATGTCAGATTGCATGCCATCTTGGTGGGGGTGAGGAGAGGGAGGGAGAGAAAATTTAAAACTTAAAATTTTATGGAAGTAAATGTTGCAAACTAAAAATCAATTAATTATTTATTATTTAGAAATGCCTATAGTCAGGAGATGAAGAAGGCAAGTGTAAAAGGATCACAAAGTATGGGGCTGGGGAGAGTAGAGGTGTAAGGTGTTAAGAAGAGTAGAAAGGTGGGAAGAAGCCAAGTTATGAAGTGCAAACAGAGGATTTTATATTTGATCCTGGAAGTAATAGGCAGCCACTGGAGTTTATTGAATAGGCAACTGGGGATTGGCCCAAGGGGGCAGAATTTAAAGAAGCCCAATTTAGAAGGTGCTGACAACATTTTCAATCTTTCAGCAATGTAGAAATGGCAGAACTTACCACCTACTAAGTAAAAATATTAGGTATAAAAGGAAATACAGATGGAATAAAATAGGAGCCCTACCCTTCTCACCTCATTCTGCCGGCCCTAGGTGTGCTTTGTATAATTGGCTCTGGGTACATGCACACAACACATCACAAGTGAGGAACGACAAAGTAAAAGCAGCATTAAAACATGTCATCTATGAAGGATCAAGGGGCAGCTTTTATACTCCCAGCCAACAAGTTATTAATGTGGGCTTTGATGTGTCCCACTCTGGGCACAGGAAAAAAAGTGAGGCTGATCGCAAGGCAAGAATGAATGATAATGGAAAGAAAGCTTGGATACAGCCTCTGGCACATAGTAGGTACTTAATGAACACTTGCTGATTGATTTCTTGACTAACGTCAAAAAGATATGAAGAAGGCACCTGGGGAATCGGGCAAATCCCCTGTACCGAGTGTATGGCAAGACATGGACAAGGCTTGAATGGGTTTATGATTTGCTTTTCTAGAGGGAAAATTCATTTTAATGAGGTAACATCTTTCTGAGTATTAGTACATCCTTATGTCAACCTTCCACACTAGCTTGTCATTTTCTTGCTGTCTTCAACATAGCACTTTCTATTCTCTCTGCCTGAAATGATAGCATGCCTGAAAGCTTCCTTTCGGGTCAGTCTATCCTTACCAGAATGTTATAATCTTCAGCAAAGGGTTATAACAGTCAAATCACTCACTCCTGAAGGACAAGTTTTCATTTTTTTTTTATCACATTAGTAAAAAGACAAGGCTGGCAATTATCTTTCCAAAAAAATATTGAAAGTTAAATATTTAAGATGTTAATGTGACACTGATCTATAGTGTGTAATATTAGTCTCTTAAATCTTCTTAAATATTGCATTATGTGCCCATGTTCCCATGCTTCATGTACACAAGCCAACTACAGATTTCATTTTTGTTGAGAGCACCTCCAATTATTTTTTTCATCAGAAACACTGATTCTCTCTTCTAAACTCAGGCTTTCTTTTACATCACAAGCCACTTCCCCTAGGAAGCATTTCAGAAGTGAACCCACCTAACTATTTACTCTATAAGTGAACATCCCTCAGAATCAATCACATTTTTTGCATATGGTAAATAATAGACATTTCTTGGTTGAATAAATATTTCTCAGGTATTTTGGCTTTTACATTTGTTTTTGAGAATTGTCTTATGTGTACATTTTCTTTCTCCCTATGTGGATTGCAAGTCTGAATGAGGAAACTCTATTTCCCATTTCCTTTGTTTTGATGCTCCTCACCTAGGACGGCACTCTGCAAATAGCAGGTCTTCAGCAAATGTCCGTTAATATGATTGCTACCCACCACTCTGCTATTATTTACACAGCTGTGCATATGTTCTCAGACATATCTATCTAGGCCTCGCTGCATCATAGCCAGAGAGAATTTGCGGAGGGATTCATCTCCATGTTTACTCCACACCGAGTTTCCATAGTTATAATTCACCTCCCCGAGGTTAAGCCCTGGTGTCCCATCCCCTGGCACTTCAACATGGATCTTCCTTTGTTGGAAAATCTGTGCTTTCTAAGAGGAGTTATCTGACATAACACACAAGGAAAGGGAGCATTGACTTTCAAGTCAGAGGACCTGGGTCCAAATCTCACCTGTGATGCTTCCTACCCATGTAACTCTGCCAAGCCACCTTAACAGCCTGGGCCTCAGTTTCCTCATCTACAAAATGTGTGGGTTGGGCTAGGTGACCTCTGAGGTTTCTGCTGGTTTTAGATTCATGGTTGTATGTGCTGGAGCCAGCAGGGCTGGTGTTCGTCAAAACTAGTCATTTTTTTTTTTGCATCAGGGAGTAGTATAAAGTGCACCTTCATATATCACTGTGGGTAATGGTGGTAGATGGGAGAATAGCTCTCTGGGGATGAGGTGTAGAGCAGAGGAAGCAGTCTACATGGTAGCTGTTTTTTTTTCTTCTACTAATTGCTCTAGCCCTTGAGGTTCAGAGTACAGTTTTTTCCCATTCTGCTAGGTTAAATTCAAGTATTCCATTGCCCTACAATAAACATGCATTAAGTACCTACTATGTGTCAGATACTGGGTTAAGCACTAGGGATACAAATAAGATAAAGAAGGACGGTCCTTGCCCTCAAGGAGCTTACAATCCAACAGGAAAGACAATACATAAAAGGAAGTTGAATAGGGGAGCAGTGGGAGGGCTGCCAGAGATACCAGGTTCAGGGAAACAATGGAGATGATGGTGGAGTCTAAATCAAGCACAGCCTTGGGTGGCAAATGTATAGTTGACTGCAATTTGAGCCCTCTAGAAAGTAAGGCTATATGGAGGCTGAATTGATGCACTCAGGCAATTATCATAAAGAATGAGTGGGCAGAGATGAGCAATTATCTCTACCAGTGAAAGGAGGAACCAAACTAATGATAATGATGATCATAATAATATTAATAATAACAAAAGCAAACAATTGTAGAGCAGTTTAATGTTTACTATGTATAGCTGATCTCATTTGATCCTCACAATAGCTTTGTGAGGTAGGTGCTATTATTATCTCTATTTCACAGATGAGGAAACTGAGGCTAAGAGAGGTTAAATGATTTGCCAAGGAGGAGGGGGCCATACACCTAAGTGAGTGC